GGGGACAATTTTACTTTGTGATAAAGAGGAATTGAAGGGACCAGGAAAAACTGATGTAAAAGGTGGAAAAATGCACATTTTTTGCACATATATTTTTCTACACATTTCCTTTTCTAAAGCACTGAAACTATTTCGGTGAAACCAGTAGCCTCCACCCAGCCTTTCCCTGACCCAGTCCCTCCCTAGCCAATGGCCCATCTCCAAAAGTTCCCTTATTAAGAAACAAATTTTGACAACAGTGATCATTATTAACATTTAAAATGCATTTTCCCAATAAATCAGACTTTTTAAATCTAGCAAGTCAAGGGTTGGCAGGAAATATTTATTTACTCCATCTGTCTCTTTTTTGATACCTACTTTTTTATGAATTCTCGATCTTAATGTTTTAGTAGCAAATCTAGAGAAAAATAATACAGAAACTTCTCTTGATTGAACATCCCCATTTCAATGACATATGGAATTAAAATTGTAGATCAAAAAATTAAATTAGGTTTGATGGCAGATTATTTAAGTTTGTTTTGCAGTATTACAATGCACTTACCTGCCCAGCTTCTTTTACTAGGGCAGCAATATCTTGTAAGGTTGCAACTTTATTTTCCTCACCATCCTTATTTTTATACTAAACAGATAAACACATCTTTTAAATATATTAACAAATGAGTATTACAAATTTTTTACATGCATTTCTTGCATGTGAAATTTTACAAAGATTTATAAGTGTACCAAATTTTTAAAAAATTAATGAAGTTCAACTTACAACAGTTCTCTCTTTGCTTCCCAATTTACGACCAGTTTTACCTTCAAAATATTTAAGATCAGCGTAAGTCTCTCTAAATTGATTAATGTCAAATGCAGATAATTTTTCCATATATTTCTGAAATCTTTTTAGGTTGAGTGTGCCTCCTTCATTGATGTAACCTTGCAAACATTAAAATAGTTACAAAAAAAAATATTAATGCAACACTCCAGTTGAAGTCTACAAAACAATATTCTTATTGGTAATAGCTACTACCATACCAAGTAAAGTTGTGTGTGTTATTACTGCAGAGGCCAAACATTAAAAATTGACTAATGAATTTTGCTGCTTATACCTACTATACAATTTTATAATAGTACTATTAGTAATACTACAATTAAGTTTAGTGGTTAGAGCAGCTGGGCGTAAACCAGAAGGCCCGAATTCGTATTCCTGTTGAGGCAACCAATTCTTTGAACAAATTTAATTACCACAATTAACAATAATTATCCCTAAAACACAAGTTACTTTTATTCTCAATTGTTTGAATATGATTGGTTTTGTGCATCATCATGATTTTTCTTAACATCTGACTTGCGATGAATTGATGATTGTTTATTTACATTGTTAAGGATGTTAAATTTCTTAAAATAGAGGTAGGTACATCTACACTTAACTAACCTGTAAGGTTGTGAGAAAACAGGGGTTAAAGATGCAAGTGACTGATAAATACTGTACCAATAGTTCACATCATGAAATTGTAAGTCTCAAGGTAGAGCAAAGAGAAAGTGGTATTGCCTTGTTCCTTCCTCTTTGCGCAATACCATTGAGTTTGAACTGAAGCCCATTTGATCTCGAGGAGAACTACCTTGAGATACCAGACAAGACTTAATTCAGAAACTGAAGAACACAACCAGATAATTGACTCTGAAGGAAAAAATTAAGTATATCAGTTCAAATTTTTCTGCCCTTCTTTACGTGACACCTCTTCCAACTATGCCACAGAGGGTTATACCAGACACATGAACTCTTAACTGTCACCGAGAGTGGCCATTGCTTTGTAGGGTCCTCCTGTGGCGATGCTGCAGGGTGAAACCTAAATGGCTTTCAAGCTGGCATTTTCATGATGTGAACATAGTTAAACTGAGAAGTAGTGGTGGATTTGCCATAAATCATTTCAAAATACTTTCTTAAAAACAAAATCAGCAATTTATCCTCTGAATATATATGAAGTAATTAAAAACCATAACAACTGACATTATCTCTCTATAGTTTTGAAAGTGATAATTTCATTCAACAAAACTAAGGAGGGAACTTTCTAAAAAATTCTTTCCATTTCAATATTCGGTAAAATTTCATTTATATGTTTTTCAGGAAGGGAGAAATGTATTAGTGAGAAAAATGCATAACTGAAAAGGAGGAAAATCTAAGTGCAAAATAAAAACTTGATATTTTGACAATACTGTTGGGTCAGAAAATAATATGCATGTAATATTGGAGTATTGCCTATGGATTGAAATACAGCTAATATTACACGAGTTTTCAAGAAAGTTAGTAAGCTAGGTCCCATAACTAAAGGCCAATTAGTTTGTCCAGCTCCATATGCAAGGTCTTTGAGTTGATTCTGGCAGACAAGATATTCGACTTAACTTTGAGAACTGGACACATACCACCGCACCAAAATGGCTTTGTAACAGGGAGATTACAAACTGTAATTACAAACCTACTATCTTCAAGATGGACTACTGCAAGACTGGACAATGGATCTCATTAATGGAAACCCTACATATATCATCTACTTGGACTTCTCCAAAGCTTTTGAGAAGATACTGCACTGAAGGTTGCTTCACAAACTTGCTCACTTGGCATAAGGGGGATGCTTTTGCATTGGATACAGTCTTCCCTTGAGGATTGCCATTTTTGCATGAGAATTGGAGAACTAAGACATCACTGAAGAGAATCAACAGTGGAGTTCCCCAGAGCTTGGTATTGCCACTGATCTTATTCATCCTGTGTACTAACAACCTGCTGAATGGTATGCTCTCCCACTTCAAGATGTATGCAGATGACACCAAATTACATGCTAACCCTCTTGTGAATTATCTCCAGGATTTGAATAGTGTTTATGAGTGGTTGAGAGTTTGGATCTTTCTCACACCTACATTAGTATATAGTGAGGATTTTTATTGCGGAAGTATGAAGGTGGAGAATGAATACATGTAAAACATAGGTGTGAAACATATAAATGGAGTTTTACTTCATGCCTTGAAATTTACCATTATCTACATTCGGAAATCTTAGAACAAGACAATTACAATAAAAAATCTCTCGTTATTATATATTCCGTTTTCAACTGCATTATATTTTTTTCTTTTATATTTCAAAATTATTTTATCCATTTTATACACACCATACATAATAAGCAATCATTGTCTACATTACATATTTCTTAAAATTGTTTCTTCTCATGATGTGCTTACCATCCAAAGTTGGCAGGACTTGAATATAAGCTTCATAAAGAATAGGAAGAGCACCATTGGCTATGTGCATATCAGGCAGAGGAGGAATAAAATCATTTCCAACAAGAAATCCCATAAGAACCTAAAAGGCGACCTTTTATTAATACATCAATGATTGGTAAATTGTATTTTTTCTTTTGTAGCTTTCGAAGGTTCAAAATATTGTTTTTATTAATATAATGGGCATTAAGAAGGACAAAAGGGAATGGAAAGAAATGAAACAAATAAAATTTACTAACCCAGTCGTCAATTATCTTTTCTATATCAAATGGAAATGACAATTTGTCCTTTAAAACTTGAAATTCCATTTCTAAATATTCTCGCAGAAGTGACAAGTGGAGAAGAAAGAATGTCTGGTCTTCAGGGGCTGTTGTTCGTTTACTTTTGGTGCGAACAAATTTTACCTGTAGAAGCACATAGAAAAATTAATAAGTGGCCAATACAGTTTATTGTTCAAATACTAATTCTGTCAACTTGACAGCTAGCAGCTGACAGGGGGGAGGGGGGTCCTCTGTAACCAATACATTGCTTCTGATTGTGATGATGTCAATGCAGAATTGCTTATACTAATTAAGAAAAAAAATTATATCGTACAGAACAAACCAATCGAAAACTTAAAGAGAGCTGAGTGCCAAGTTGCCATTTGGCACCTTTACTTGTTTGATTGTGTTTTTATTCAGGAATGTATTGGGATTCATGCATTTTTCTTTTCAAAACACTTCTTGAACTTGTTTTCATCTGCTTTGTGCATGTTGTGCAAAAATGTTTTGTTATTCCTTTCATTGGGATTATTGTCAGGGACTGCAGTAAATTTTTGTAACAGCACTGCATGAAATAAACAAATGCCATTATTATTCTACTATTAATAAAAAAAAGTTGAACATGCATGCCTCAATCACAATCTGATGCAAGAACGACAGCATATAGTCCACCAGAGTAAGTGGACAGAATAATCTACTCCATCCTTGGCAGCAATATTATTAGCAGTAGACAGCAATATAATTCAGACTATACCATCTATGATAGAATTTTCAACAGTAAGTCAGTAAAAAACAGAAAAGTCAACCAATAGAGTATACAACAAAGCAAATGAAAAATTATAAAAAGTGTACAACTTTGCTTCTCTCATTTTCCTATTGATGGCTGTAGTGGTTAAGTGGTGGTGGAAAGAACCGGATATAATTATACAATAAGGTTAGTCATTTATCAACATAGTCTCAACATAAAACATTGGCTGATTTATATCCACATCAAAATGTTCTTCCCGATTGAAAATATCAAAGTAAAAATGTACAAAATGTCAGAGCCAAATGCTCATCATTTGTGGGGTGTTACTTTTCTACTCCAATATGAGGGGGGCTAAAGCTCATCGATAATCATTACAATAACCCCAAGTGCAGAAAGTCATGGGTCTCTCCCAGCCATGCTTCCATAAATATTAACAACTCTAAGGTGATGCTCTGAACTTAATGGGAGCAGCTCGGCTTAGTTTACTATAAGCTGTTAAAACCGAAAGAAAGAAATCACTGACAATATGTATTGAAAGCAATTAACATGTTCAAGCAAAGCATTAAAAGGCAAATGGCTGCAAAATGGGAAACGATAAAGTGAAATAGGAAGCTCTACCCCATCTTCCGTACTCCCCAGCCACTGCTCCCACTGGCTCACATAGCCTGGCTGACCAGCACTTACTTTCTTAGAAAGAAACCAAAAATCTATACCTCAATTATCTCAGGTTAGCAATTTTTTAACGAGGGATTCATAAACTCCCTAAGGGGTGGGAAAATGCGATGGACAAATTTTGAACAGTACATTTTGAATAATCAGTATCTGTATGTAATCAGTTGTTTGCAATAAAGCCCAAAGAAAATTGTACACATTTTATAAAATTTAAACTAGAAAATATAAATTTCCTAATTTACCCTTTAAAATTCAGTAAAAACCTTCACCATATTTCAAGCCTTAAATACGGTATGCAGTCTGAAATAATTTTACTTGTTTTCTATTATTCATGTACGTTTCATAGAATATAGCAGGATGTCAAACTCTTTCCATTTGTACATGAATTATAACATGAATCTTAACTATAGTTTCTTAAAATGTTATGATTTTAGAAGTATTTGAAATTTGGTTTTTGAATTATCTGTATTGCATTGGCTGTTAAAAAACATTACAAAAAATACCTATTTCTGGTAAAGAGGAACAATTTATTAATTACCTCTTCTCTTAAAAGTGAAAAATGTGGTTCATGTGAGCATAAACCCAACATAATGAGATCAGCGTCAAGTCCATACAAGCAGTGTCTTGTGTTGGGATCATAATCTGATTGTGATTTCATACACCTGATATAATCCATAATTTTGTGTTCCCCTTCACCAGGTGTCTGCAATGCAAAAGACAAATATTACGATTTTTCTCATTACAGCATATCTTGATGTACATAAAATCAAATAAATGCTTACTTACTTCATGGCCTGACAAGATCACTTTACACTTCTGCCACAAAGGGTCAGTAGACACTTTATAAGTCACAAAATATTTTAGTTGTTCATGCAATCTAGCCATGAACACTGTGCCTGGTGTAATGCAATTTGAATCAAAGCGAGCCTCAGTAGGCAACGTTTCTCCTTTTTCTTGGGCCTTCTTTTCAAGAATTTCAGCTTCTTTTGCTGAACGAAATCTAAAAATTTCAAGATTGTAGCTTTTATTTTGTCACTGTTCCAGAATATAAAAATACTTTTCAATAAAGGACATGTTAATTAAATGATTAAATCTATTTAAAAGGAACCACACATTTGATTGGTATTCCAACCATACAAACAGTTGAAAGATCAAAGCTAAGTATTACATTTTCTCCTAAAACTTTATATTAAATATTATTTTATATAAATAAATTTTATATTAAATTGTAAAATTATTTGAATAAATAAACATTTGCATACAAATTTTTGTACATTAAAAAATATTAAGACATTTTCCTATTATTTTTAAGACATTTTATAGGTAATTTTCAAAGAATTTTAAGGTAATCAGAATCCTAGTCCTGGTAATCATTGAGGAACTCCTTAAAACAATTGTCATTATGTGGCTGTCGCTTTTAATCCATTTACCTGAGATTTTGTCAATCTAAAACCTTCTTCTGAACAGAGAATTAACTTAACAAGAAAACTTTTAGTACTTGTCATGACCAATACAATAATCCCGGGGTGAATCATCCCATCCCATCCCATCCAAAAGAGATCTCACCCTAAACAATAATATCCAGTGGCACAAAAACAAAGTTGAGTTATCAATGCAAACTGCACAAAGTGCAATGTACAAACTGCACAAATACGGAGAAAATTATTATGTCATATATATTCACACACATATAACACATTCACATTAAAATTCTGAGAAGGATATATTTTGATTTCAATATTTCAGTCTTTATAATACTTCCAAACTGCTTCTTAATCTTCATTAGAATGCTTGTTGCCCTCCATCCCTAGATTAGGATTTGGTGAAAATAGAACCACCTCAAACACATTCTATTCATAAATGATTGAGTAGATGTATAAATTAACAATAATTCCTGTAAATTGAACTCACCTGCGACCACGCTGCTGATTCATTTTAGCACGAGGAGCAACACCATCTACTGCCATGAAAAACAATTTTTGTGGCCGAATCATGCGAAATAAAACCTGACAAATTTAAATGAACACATTATTTCAAAACATGGGATATTCACTTCACGAAATTAGAATGTGGCATTCTAAATAATCTTACTTCAATATAATGAAAAATATCCTTAAAAATCTTCTCTTCGCTAATTCGGAAGTGAGGATCAAAGTCATTGGGATGAGAACAAGTGTGAATGATTCCATTCATGTCCAAATATAAATTATCAAATGTTGGGATCTGAAACATAGGTAATTTTTAAGGCACATTAAAATTATGTATACCTGGAGTACACCATTTTATTCTCTGATTAAAATAAATACTGAATCAAGACTTAGTTCAAAACAACTTATAACATTGCTCAAATGATTGGCCTCATGCCTCCTTGAGTGAACAGAATGACTATTTACGCAAAAAAACAACAATAAATAAAACAAAAACCAACTTGTAAAGGTCAATATCTTAGAAACTTTAATCAAACAAAAAATATGAAGCAACATAATACATTCTTATTTCTAAAGTAAATGCAATGTAACATATGTGAGGAAAACAATGAAATGTGCAGCATTAGTTTGTACAATTTACATGTGCACAATGAAATGTTATAATTAAAGAGTTGATGAATTACGTAATTTCTCCATTTATTAAATAAATGTTGTTTTTTTTATTAAGACGTTATTTTTCTAGTACATTGAACACTTGAAAAAATATAGCTAGCAAAAATAATTAGAAAATCCCTCTTGGGTCCTTTTGACTTTGACATAATATCTAAAAGACGATCTGGATCAATCTATATATCTATAAATGACAAAAGGGAGTAAACGTTTTTTTTAAAACATCTCTGAAAAAATGAGGCCAAGAAAAGTACTTTATAGGGACACAATTGATATCAACTAGAAGGCAAAAATAATTCGACATGTTGAAGATATGTAAATAAGGTGACAGTTTAAGGAATAGAGACAACATTTACATTTAAATATTAGCACCTATAGGTATAGTCTTAGAAAAGAAAGCTATAATTGTACATGAACCATAAAACATGGAATTCTAATACATGTAGCACAATACCAGACTCACTGATAGGTTTAAATTTGTTGAAATGAAGTAGAAAGCAAAGCATCATATTAACAAGAGAAAATGTTGGAAATAGTCCTTGGTGCCTCAGAGATAACTTAGAGGAGAAGAAGAATGTTAAATAATCATAATTTATTTGAATATCTTTAAAAAGATCACAAAATAGAACAATTTACCGTCATTTGTGGCCACTTTTTAATTACAAAAGTACACACTTTCTCACCTGATATTCTCGAACAAACTCACTTAGACACGGATATCTCTCACTAATCCACCTGAAAAACTTCGGTACACCCATTGTTAAATATTATATCCTTAAAAACTTCTTGCAGTGTAAACACCAAACAAATTTTGGAAGGTGATTGAAACGTGTGCAACCTGACGGGAAGAAATACCCTACTTCGACCGCTTACCTTACGGTATTGCACAGTCTGAGAGACGATTCTGCCAATCTAATATAATGTCTCAATATGACGAAATTTACGTAATAATTATTCATAATATTGATTTTCAGGTACATAAGGTTTTGCATTAGTTATTCAACAAACTTAAACTTCGATAAATAATAAATTAAATTGGGACCATTATTATTGTGACATTATTTCGTAGATAACAAAACATTTCAATGTTTTATGCAAGAATGTGTTTTCTTACTCATGCTTTACAACAAAATAAAAAAAACATCATCTTTAATTCTCCACATTCTTTTTGTTGTCTTCTCTGTATTAATTCGGAAGACTTGACATTCTTCGATGTAAAATATCGAATGTCAGCGGTCAATTCAAAATGGGGGGCTCCCATACTTACGGACGGAACGTATTATAGAAAGACGTAATACTACGAAAACTCTGCGACAATATTTTAATAGAATTTCTATATCAGTACCACCCATTTTGATATAGAAAATGTTGTTTTTTTTTCCGAACACGTCTTTGTCTTCTCTTTGCCGTCCATCTTCGTGTATCCATTTCTGTATTCAAAATTTTCACCCCAATAAGCCGAAATCGATGCCCGAAGAATTTGAAATGAATCTTTTAAATTTGGAGGTTCTATGCATGGAATCCATAGGATATTTACAAAATTTACTGAGAAATGTTTTCCATTTAAGTTCACATTTTTGTTCGAACCTATCTACACTTTTAATATTGAAACAGCGGATTTTTTCATTTATGAAACCAATTTTCCGAAATCACACTCTTTAAACAATATACCATTGCACAGTTTTTCAAATAATGACTAATTTTCGAATCGTTTTGAGTCCAATCGTGACAATTTTCGACAAATACATAAATAAGATTTACTCAAAAACCACTCCCAATATTTTCATTATACTTTTCATATTTAAAGTACACAAGTGCTCTCACATACCATCAGAGCTATTTCGATGAAAACGTTTGAACTTTCAAAAATTAAAAATGTATTCTTTTCGTATCTGCCGCGTTTGACTTGATTTATATTCGTAAAAATAATAAGTAAAATTTGTGATGTATGGGGAAGAAGTTTAATCAGCGCTCATTTTCTTGATCTACATAATCTTTTCTCTGCTCTTTTACTACTCATAGTTAAATGATGGATAAAACTACAATCAAAATGAGGTTAGAGACATTTGAAATCTAGGCATTATCGCATCCGAGTAACAGAAAACGTATGTGTATCGGAAAACGAATAACAAATTTAATTTTTTATAGTATTTCCAACTAAACAATAACAATCCGCCGGCTCAACTTCTGCCACAACTAGCGAACGGAGAGTTCAATACACACACAGTGAAGCTACTTGCAAGCCCAGAAGCAAAACAGAAGGTTACCTCAGCATTTGGTCAATGAGTCAGGGAAAGTGGACGAAAAATCTGATCGAGATCGGGGCTTTCAATAGCTCAAGCCATTATTTGTTACAGACAATTGGGAGTCCGGAGCATTCGGGATTTATCGTCTGCCTAGTGCAGTATTAAAATCAGCGAATTGCTGTTGCTTCCGCAGGGATACTGTCAGACATATTTAGTCTTTTAAAATCACACACGAAGAATATTAACCCCTCAAAGCGTAAACGTAAAATAAATGTTTGAAATATTTTATTGCACAAAATATGTCAATTCACATTGAATAAGTGACATTGGGCACAATGAATACAGATTACCAGAAAATCAGTTCTGATTTAGAGGGAAAAAAAAGAGTCCCACCTCCGGCGTGATTTTATATGTGCAAGTCTCACAATATGTGTGTGTCATCCTTTTACCCTTCATTATCATCATCATCATTTCATCTTCCATACTCCCAGGGCTAACAACCCTGGCGGTAAAAATCTGATTCAGATAAATGCTGATCCCCAGATAAAGTTACATGCACCTGCACCGTGGTCCAAGTCGGCCTCTTCGCGAAAAAAAACAACAACAACAACAAAACACGAACGGAACATCTTGCATTTGCGTGTGATAATCAAACCAACAGGGTACGTGTAAACCCACAATATGCACAATATTTCTTCGAAATTCACAATAATCAAGTTATTTTCTGTACCGATTTTTCTCGACAAGACATTTTGGGTTGCTAGTCCAAAGACTATTATCTGAATATTGTAGATATTGATGTATTTCTAGAAATTTGTTTATTCACATACTATTAGACACTATGTCATTGTGCACATCTGATTTGTTTTATCAAAATATTCTAGTTTTTGTAGAGTCATATACCCTCTCGTTAGTAGTATTGCTAAATATACCTTCACTTCATCCGCATTAATGTTAATCCTTGTCAATAGTTCCTCTGCGTAGCATATAATTTGCTGATATCACTTATCTCATTTATTGTATCCTCTTTGTACAGAGGTTTAAAACATTGAGATGGTTTGAGTTCATCATATTTTCAAATATTTTCATTTTAGCACATCTTGCACGTGAAACAAAATGGCATTCATCATCGGACCATTTCTAATTATACTTTTTATTTCAATATTTCACTCTCTTTCTTTTTAGGGAAGATAAGAATTTTGAATACTCTTGATCTCAACATTATATTTGGAAGATAACTCACTTCAGAAGTAGACCTATTCTCTTCTCCACTTGCTTCGTACGTGAAAAGTTCACTTTCGGAAGGAAAAATCGTTATGTCTTCTATCAACTCAGCAGTTTTTTCTTCCAAACACTTCAGTGCAGTGTCAACGTGTAACTTAAAAGAAACAATTTTAGTACGATAATCTTTCAGTAAGTACAAACTTGTAATATTTGTTATAATTTGTGTATATATAGACGAGAGTCTATTAATAAATAAATAAAAAATAAAAAAACCCTCAAGATCATAACTTCGGAAGCACGGAAAGTACGCGAGAGTGCATGTGCTGAATTTCACCCGTAGGTGACGCTTGGTATTTCTGACGTAACACTGCACTCAAATTCAGCAAACTCATGAAATCGATTATATAATATTGAAATAAAATGGATGTTTCACAGAGGCAAAAGTACATAATATTAACTTTCTTTATTTTTCCTTGCTAAAAGTAATTCTCTCTCCCAACATCACTTTCCGCAAGAATTGCTTCCACAATACTGATCATTTAATCGCTCTAACTCAAGAAAACGTGCGCAAATGATGTCCCCCGTACGTCAATATAGTTTTTATTGATAAATAAATGAATATTACTTACTATGTAGTCCCTGTAGTTATTATTTCTCCTTTTGTTATCGTATACGGCACGTAAAACCTTTATATCGTCTCCACATGGGCGAAAAATAAATTTACAAGTTCTCTAGAGTTTACAAGGTATCTGATGAAGTTAACAGTTGATTTGATCAAGCATAACCTCGTGACAAAATCTCGATAATTAAAACCAATCCATTCTCTCTCGCACCTTTTGTCTTCGCACTAGTGGATAATATTCCAAATCATTGCTGCAATAGTCTTCAAATATTATCATTCGTAATCGTCGAGCCGTAACAACACTTCGGAGGTACATGCACGTTGAAAACTGAATTTACTCCGTACTTTACCAGACGGATTTTCGCAGTGTAAAGTTACTATTGAATGTACTCTTCGAGTGTTAGCGATTTACACTTGAGTAAAGTGTTGGTGAAACGCTCCAAGAAGTTACTCTCGAGTAAACATGATTTACTCCAGAGTAAACTCTTACTCTTTGTTTGGTGAGATCGGAGAGTATATATATATATATATATATATATATATATATATATATATATATATATATATATATATATACTCTAGAGTAAAATAACCCTGTAGAAGCACGGTTAAACGCTAATATTCTACTCGAGAATTACTATTTTAGAGTAAATGCTTACTCTCTAAATACCTTCATCCAAACAAATGTGAACAAGGCATATTTGTGTTACAATCTCCTTTTCATTCTCGATAATCTTAAGAATTATATGATTCGGATCAGCAGAAGCACATCAGACGCTGAGGAAGGGAAGTTCCATATCCTAGAGTTGGCAAGAGCGCTGGGACTCTTCTTGGTCGGGGACTTCCCTATTTCAGCAAGGCTAGGACGCGAATTGGCTCGACTATGTATTGTTCGCGCATGGTTTCTTGAGCCCTCGCTCCGCTAATTGCGAAAGGAGTCGGGAGTTTGTTTGCTTTTCCAAACGAAAGTTTACATAAAATTTGTTGTTCATTTTTTGAAGCAAAATAGTTTCTATTACACGAGAGCGAACATTTCTGTTTCATCTAATCTGTTTCATCTAATTATGCCTACAACGCTCGTTGCTATCATTTATTCGTAATTTAACTAATGTTGGCAAAGGAGTGGGGGTAGGTGTGCCCCATGATATAAGGAACGTCGAAAGTGTATTCGTGCGGTGGGGGAGACTGAACTTTCTGATAAGTTTATAATATTACTTATACCAATTAGTATATTTAATATATATTATTTTAAACAATAACAATTATACAATAAATTAAGAAATAGGTGAACCATTATCCATTTCACAGTGTTCAGTGTACTTGTATGTATTTAAAACAATTTTGATAAAATTCCTTTATGTAGAGTGGCTTTTTTCCTGGCCCTTAGACTATATTTTTAATTGTTATAGATATTGAAATGTGATTTTTCACTAATACGAATGTATGTGTGGGGCAATAAGATTATGTACAATATAAATCTAAACATTTTTTAAAATGTAAGAGATATTGACACAATTTTTTTAAAGTATCTATAGCGCGCCCGAGGTTAAGAATGAAGCACGGTCTCTTATGGCGACAGTGATGCAAAACGTGGCGCTTTTCTGCAGTACTGTATGAATCGAAAATTACGATCTCAATGGTGACAATGAATCCCGCAATGAGGCGGAGCGCTAGTTTAGCGCTCTTGTACTTTATCTCGAATCTTTCCAATTTTCTGAAATCAAATTTCCTTCCTTTACTCAAATCTAAAGCTGTTCCTAAGAGACTCCAATACACAGGAATATTTCTGTTAAGTTTATCAAGTCCTTGGTGCTTCGAAATGTCATAAGAAATCCGGAAGAAATATTCATTTTAAAATGCATCACCATTTCAAAATAATATCCAAAATTCAAGCCAACTACATGCAATTGCCAAAAGGCAAAGCCTCGTTTCCTTTATAACATTTGATAAATAATTAGTATTGATTACCGAACAAAATATTTAAAATTCCTCTGAAGACAAAAGAAGTGGGCTCCCCGGGAACAAGACGATTTGATTCAGGCAAACCAAGCAGCCACATGAGCGGACATTCATCTCGCGGTATTGCGTATGAATCCCGTTGGAAAATATAATTATAGTTAAATAGTAACAATAATTAGTGACCTTTGTTTATTTCGACTTTTGAGCACTTTACGGTATGTGAATCGTACGTTTAAATTAAGTTTGCAAAGTAAAAGGAAATTAGATTTAAAAAAAAATTAAATTAAATGATTTACCACAATCTAAAACGAAACTTAAGAAAAAAGTAAACGAAATCATATTGTACTTTGTTGCGATTAAAACTATAAATCTCAAAAACAAAACACAACTATACGCAGGCGAACAAACAATGTAAACAATCGGAACGCGAACTTTCAGAGCGCAGTATGGCTTGGCAACCGAAGCACGTGGCACTGCAGCTGTCTGGTCCAACAGCCGAACGTATCACTTCCTTCAAAAAATAATACATTCTAAAGATATTCACCACAATTTGTGGTAAATACATAATGTATTCGAGGTATTATTTTACTAATGTAATTGTTGGGATGAAAAATTATGTTAATGAGAGTTTAAAACAGTTTTGAAATCTTAAGAACGGAGGGTATGATTATTTACTGGAAAAGGCCATAGTACTTCATTCTCAACCTCGGACGCGCTATATAGATTTCTTTGTGTATACAAACACAAATATAATATAAATAATACACAAGGTAAGTTATTTATCATAAGTGCTTTGAACAAAATTAAAATATTAAGTTTAATATTTTAATAATGAATTATATATAGTTTTAATTAAAAATAGTAATAATTTGTTATTAAAATCGTCGAGTTCAGACCTGCCAAACGACGAAGGGTTCGGGTATTATGTTTTTATTCTATGATACATATGTCATAGATAACAGATATAATTTAAATAAAAATGCAAATTAAACATGCGCGTACATTCAAATTTTCTGCCCAGGACTGAAGAAAGCCGACAGAATTTCACAAAATATATTTAAAGTCTCTTCTACTTTTTCTTTTTATTATATTTCTCTATCTTTTCTTCTCATTCTTTTTAGATATTTTCTTAAGTAGGTACTACGTATTAACCGTATCCAGGCGCATGTAAGCGATCCATGCCCTATTCGTTTGTTTCGGGAACACTGTAATTGTGCAAAATGGCACAGCGGGCTGCTATCACTCGGTTGGCTCCTAGAGTGAGACCTTCCTCCGTCGACACTGTTTCCGGTTGCGTCGGCCACACTCCAATGCGTGGAAGTCAGCGGAGCACCGCTTGTCAAGCGGAGGAAGAAAGATATGAGCAGTCACACGCTTCTGGAGAACAGTCATTTTCTATACGAACCACTATATTACGATTTATGTACCACAGTGACGTCACTATGGGGACGTTAAAGCTCCCGATTGGATGAATCTGTGAACAGCTGATTTACATCAAGTGCAGGGTTAAATAAATCATAGACATCAATCATCAAAGACAGTACGCGCGGTTATTTTTTCGATACATTTTAGAAGTTTCTACAATTTTTTCTTGTGTTTCTCATTTGTATTTTTCCTGCACTTTTACCATTTTAACTTTTGTCTTTTGGCCTTTTGGGTGAGGGCGTGCCCCCTCGACACGCCCCTGCGATTTCATCAGCGACATTTCTAACATTTTGAGTTACGCATCTGAATTTGTGTGGATAAAAAAATTACGTCATTTTTTTTGTTTTAGTGCACTTTAAAAACATTTTGAGAGTATTTTGTTGATCATTTTTGGCAAAGTAGAGGGAATATTATGTAATGCTGCCACAAATTTTATAAAATAATCCTGATCCAGAATACTACAATGCAAACATTAGGCGAATGAAGAGGATAACGAGAAAGGCATTTAAGAACACAAAACACAGTAGCGAACATATGAATAGTTTCCGAAATCATGCAAAAGAATTGGAGCGAGCAAAGAAAATTGCTCAAGAGGCATATTTAAAGAATATTCTTGATGGGAATGTAAATAACTGGACAGGATTTTATAAATATGTTCGTGCAAGGTAGGGAAATAAAAAGTATATCACAGTTGTTTGTGAAAATAGAAACTCGCTCACTACAGAATTCAAACCACATCACTGTTTTTCATATTTCACCTCCCTGCACAAGCTGTTTGGATCTCCCAGTCCCCAAGCCACTCGCGATACTTTATGTATTTTTGAACAACTGTCACAACTGTATTTTTCAACAACAGCTTGAACTCATTTTTTAGCAAATGTTGTTTGATTATTTTTTTAAATGCGCCTTTATGAGTAAATTTACTCTTGAACCATTAAATTTTGAGAGATTAATTAACGAACTTGTACACAAACGCATTTGACAGTCATTTGAAGTGTTCAAATTACAAATATTATTTGTAAATATTAACTAAGTGAGTACACACGAGACATTTTGGAAAAATTAAAAATAAAAAGGTACCAATATTAAGTAAATTATTTTTATAAACTATCTTCACAGAATGTTCAAAAGGAACTTTAAAGAAATTTTTAGACAATGTTTTGGAAAATTGCCACATGATATACAAAACTACTTAAAAACAACTGATGTTTAAACAAATGTAAAAACTCATGTAAAGACGTAATTTATAGAAATAAACCGATTTAAGAAATAAATATCTAGTTTAAATTTTAATAGCATATGATATATTAAAAAAGGATTATTACAAAATCGCACAGACATTCACATAAATGGCTGGATTTCAATTGAATCATTGGAAAAAATCTGGCAGTGTTTTACATGAGAAGACAGACGAAGAACAACCAACTTTTCAACAAACGTGTTCTACTCAAGTGCTGCAACAGCACATACTTTTTAGCATTATTACTAAATTTGCAATTTTCGAAATTTCAGAGTTCATCGAAATAGAGATACGCGTCATTCCCTTCTTCTGTCTGTTGAAAAAAATAAAGAAAAACTTTGGAGCGTTCTCTGTGAAAAAAACAACAACATTCAAATTGCCTACAGTTTATGCCAAATTACACGAATACTATATTTTCGAACAATTGAACATTATATTATTTAATGATCCATTTAAAAAACATATTTCATAAAGTAAAAAAAATCTACAATATTATAGTTGCAGATGTTCCCAAAAAATTGCATTTCTCAATTAAAAAAGATATGAGATTTCAACGAACATGACACCTGCACAATTCTCTTAAAGTCCTTTACTCTCTCCGAGGACAAAGTTTGATAAAAACATTTGGTGCCATTTTTGCGAAAACTTTGAAAATGTTTATGAGTGAGAAAAGAAGCTTCAAAAATGAAAATATCCGTTTAAAACTCGCAAAGCCTCGTGTACGTTCAAATCTGATTTGGAGAAAATCGGCTGGTTAAGCCCCAACGTTGACCCCATTTGATGTCAATCGATTTATCTGTCTCAAGGAAACAAATATCGATTCTGGATATCGATAAGTAAACATTAAAAAGGGGATTCTCAAACTATCTCAACAAATAATTTTATCGATCATTACTTTTTTCTTCCCTGTAACACGACCAGGCTCTACTAAAATTACGAGCAATGCGAAGATAATTATATCCCTGCCCCATTTGAGAATCAATTGCGACAACCGGGGCAAAATGAGAATTTGCTCCATTCACGAGAGCGGAGGCCCCAGCGCCGCGCGCAGCCGCCGCCACACCCCCTCCTCCGCGCCCCCCGAGCAGCACCCGCGGCCCCCAGCGGCCGGCCACTGCAGGAAGGTGCGCGTCTCCACCAGCAGCCGCAGCAGGCGAGGCAGGGCGCGCGCCTCCAGCCGCTGCAGCTCCACCAGCACCAGGAAGTCCCGCCCGGCGCCCTCCAGCAGGCGGTGCGTCGCCATCTCCAGCTCCCACTGGCACCACTAAGCACACACACACAAACGCTCACAGCACACATTAGCACCAGGACGTCCCGCCCGGCGCCCTCCAGCAGGCGGTGCGTAGCCATCTCCAGCTCCCACTGGCAGCACTAAGCACACAAGACACACATCAACACCTCAGCAGGCGGTGCGTCGCCATCTCCAGCTCCCACTGGCACCACTAAGCACTCAAGACACACATCAACGCCCTAGCAGGCGGTGCGTCGAAAACTCCAGCTCCCACTGGCACCACTAAGCACACAAGACACACATCAACGCCCCAGGAGGCATTGCGTCGACAACTCCAGCTCCCACTGGCACCACTAAGCACACAAGACACACATTGACGCCCCAGCAGGCGGTGGGTCGACAACTCTAGCTCCCACTGGTACCACTGCGCGCGCACGCACACACCCACCCACATATACATCTACATCCAGCTGGCGGTTGTCGCCATCTCTAGCTCGCGCTGGCTCCACATCACACACACACACACACAGTTCCCTGCACCTGGTTTCCCATCACCATCCTCACCTCAATAAGGATTTCAAGTCCTCTTGGCTTAATTGTCCAGTCCTACTTCATCTCTACGCTGGCACATGCGCTCACCTGGCTGTCGACGAAGGAGGGCGTGAGCACCATGAGCGTGCGCCGGCTGCGCTCCATGCACTCAACGATGTTCTGCACGACGAGCGACCCCAGCGGGAAGTCCCGCTCGTGCAGGCAGAGGCGGTAGGGCGGGTGGCCGCCCTCCAGCTGCGGCAGCAGTTTTTCCAAGACCCACATGCGGTCGTGCTTGCTGAAACCGAAAACGAATAATATATAAGATTCTGGATTGTTTTATGCAAAGCACCCAATTTCCTATTCTTTAAGGTAGATATATTTACCATTATAATGCAACGGTTTTACAAACGTTTATACTTTCTAAATATGGTTTTATATATTAGTGTATGAAGAAGTTATATCTGAAAACATTTTCTGGACTTACTTGTGAAAAATACTTCTGTTACTCTAATGTATATGTTCTATTCGCATTTTGCAAAATATATTTTTTATATTTAAAAGGATATTTGCATCTATTAGCATTACCATATTAGATTCAACGATACAAATGGAACGGTTAAAAGAAAATTGGAAAAATAAATCAAGACTTAAATCCATAAATAAACTATACAAATTAATGCCCATTCCAACCATTACCTAGAGCTCTGAATGTTGGACTTTGAGAGCAAAACCGCTTCAAGAATTCAGGCCGAGAATGAAATTCCTAAGATCGATTGCACGATACATCCGATTAGATAAAAAGAAATTTCCGAAATCAGGGAACAAATAAAAGTCCAAGAGTTGAACTCATAATTAGACACCTATTTTACCGAATGATTATGCTTCTTCTAATTCTACAACCGCAAATAATAGAGGAAAGGAAAAAATGTAATTTGACATTTTATCTAATTTTTGTTGACTATAAAATGTGTTAATCTCGCAACATGAAAGAAAAATTTAAATAAAGGTACCACGAATTGTGAATATTTATAATAATTTTGCGCTAATTCAATAATAATAAAAATAATAGTAACTATACTAATACATTTTCGAAGAAAGAAATGATTGGAAGTATTTATCAATAGAAGACTCGAACTACGATGCTTAATAAACAGATATTTTGCGAGCGAAAATATTCAGGTACGGTTAAGCATACTGTTTATTGTATTGAAAAGGCGTTTGTTTGATGCTGCGGATTGAACCTCCAGGCACGTGGGCAGAGGACACTCGTCCGTTGGCCATTGTTTGAGTTGACCTCGAATTTTGAAGAAACAACAGCGCTGTTCGAGACCGGGACACGAGCTCTCGCCAGAGGGCGACTGACGTGTCCAGACCGGCAGCCGCTTCATGGTCGTACAGTATGAAACGAGGTGGGTGATTCTGAGCAATCGACGTGTGCTTTGATCTCCTGCGCCGCAACTAATAAGACGTTTCCAACTGATGTAAGAACCAGCGAAGTTGTGGGCTTCTGCGACCACAGTCTTGCGACTGCTCTTAGCTGCCCCGGTGCCGCCGCGTCGCAGACCAACCCTCAGGAAGACCACGACAAGATGGCCGAAACGTCGGCACCACAGCGTCAGACGCGGCGTCACCCGGTCTGCCAACAGCACCGAATAACCTAAGGCCCGTTAACCGATAGAAGTTAAAACATGCCTCTGCATACTAAGCTACGTCAATGCCTGCGAGAGATTCAAACCCGAGACCCCCAGAAGCGAGCTTTCACTATACGCGTGTCCTAGCGACCCATTCACCTGTTGACAAACAAGTAGAAGTCTAATCCTGAAAGTGAAGAAGAAATTACTTAAAAGAAAAATGGCAGCTAGTCACCTGTAGCAGACGAAAGCGTCGAATTCATACTTCAATCCTCGCTGCTCCGCCCTTTCCTTGAGATGGCGGTTGGCGCGTAGCACGTGCAGCACGTAGGTGATGTGCAGGCGAAAGCGGAAGACCAGCAGCGCCACGGCCGAGGCGACCAGAAGCACCAGGGCGGTGGCCACGGCTATCAGCTCGAATCTCCACCCGCGGACGGCGGCGCAGTCGGCCGGCAAAGGGCCGCCCGCGTCGCGCACCGGCCGCCCGCGATCATCGGGAGGCATCTCGCACGGCAGCTGCACCCGCTGCCCCAGCGTCAGCACATCCGGCGCTGGACAGAGGGCATCCGTTCACGCGCAGCTCCACTCACGACACACTCTGCACCGGCGATAGCGGCGCCGGGACTCAAGACACACAATGGGCTCCAATTAGAATACCAGGAATTCGATTCACATGAAGCGGACTCTCTCCTCGGGACGAACTACTTGGCACTGAGAAGAAAACATTCAGTACATCAACAATTTCCATGTGATTGCAGCTCGCACACACCATTGGGGCGAACTGCTACCGGTTCAATCGCCGCCATCAGCGACAGAAAATCTGGACCCGAGGAGGGATGTGCACATGGTTGTGCACTTTGGAATGGGTGCTTTCACTAACCAACCAAACAGATAACTCGAAGAGCAGATGAGAGGAAGTCGCTTGCGTTAAGTTTCTGTTTACTGAATGAGAGTCTCAACCGAACTGTGGAGTAGGCGTGGCCTTTTACGGGGCTGAATGGATTTTTTCAACTTCAAAAAATGAATTCACGCAAACTACATAAATAAGAATGGATTCCGAATTTCTACATGGAATGTTTACATCAGTATCTCAAAAATTGCTGTCCAATTCTTTTCATGGCAGCATTATTTTGTGTATTTTCCTTAATAATGGTAATTTGTTCGAATGTGATGCGTATTTACTTCGAAAACTAGGATCTTCAAGTGCAATAACATAATGAAGGGAGACACAAATATTTTATTGCTTACACACGGTATATGTTTCTCTATCAGCACGTATTTTCTGTTGGCGATTAATATGAGCAGTCATGCGACTTTATTTTGTATATAAAACTATTTTCTCTTCTTACTTTTATTCCTTATACTTAGTTCACAAACTCACATTCGGTCGTTTAAGAAAAGGTCTTTGTATTTGGAAGGTGGGCACTGTGGATCTTCGCATTCAAGGGGATACATCTTGATTGATCTCCAATGAACCTACCTTGCATGATTTCAGATATTCTTGACGAACTGTTTTCATTTATACTTCCATTCTTTTAGAACGAAGGATACATTAGGGAAGGGTATAAAAAATTAAGCGCAGTGTCCGTTCATTGCTTATGTACATGATAAAAAATGTTATGCGCCTGAAGGATGTGATGCGAATTACTTGATCCGTTCCTGAGCCACTCCTGCAGGGGTAGAATAGCGCAGCTGCTGCAGTCGAAGGGGTTGCCGCCCAGGTCGACCTGCGCGAGCGGCTCCAAGGCGCGCAGCATCTGGGGCGAGAGGGCGGTGAGGTGCGCGCGCGACAGGTTGACGGCTGCGCGCGCGCCCAGCGGCGCGAACGCCCCCGCACCCCACTCCCGGAGCGGGTTGCGCTCAGGTCCAGGAACGCCGCACCGCCCCCGGCCCGCGCCTGGCCGCCAGCGCGCCCGCGGCGTCGCCAGCAAGGTTTGCGCGCCAGCAGCAAACGGCGCAGGCGCTGGGCGGAGCGCCAGGCGCAGCGCGGGCGGCCGCGGCCATAGCAGGCAGCCCGTACAGGTCCAGCTGCCTTGGCACGCCGGCAGCGCCTGCGCAGCCAGGGCGGCGAACGGAAGGCTACGGGGTTTGGCGCCAGGCGCAGGTGTGGGCAGGTTGCTCGCCCGCGCCCACAGGCGGCTCTCCACGGAGGTCAGGTTGCAGCCGCTCGCGTCCAGCACCTTCAGGCGCGAATACTGGAATCGTCCAATGGCAGTGAGAAAGGTCTCCCAAAACGATTTAAGGGTTAAACGATTAATGGATTTTTGAATTTATGCCTACCCAATGAGTTTTAAAAGCTCGAAAATTTGCAGTAATATTATCTTCAGTTTCTTGGTCCGGCAACAAATAATCAAGTTTTTCAAGACGTATACCAGAAATCTTCAGCTCTTTCAGTAATGGGAATGATGGTAGTAGAATGGCGAATTCGTGTCCAATCTGTACAATAGGATTATACGAAAGATTCAGGGTTCTCAGCTGTTGTAATAAACCTAGTCCCCTTGGAGTCGTATGGAGCTGATTGTATGAAAGGTCAATATGGTGTAGATTAGGCACACGGAGAAAATTTTCTGAAAAGAAAGAAAAGTAGCAATTATTTCAATGAAATAGAGCTATTGAATTATTTGAAAAATATACATTGGTTTCAAGTTAATGCAATATATATGCGCCACGTTTTTTACATTTTGATAATTTAGAATTCGTTTCTACATTCATGTACAATTTCAAGAATTTGAGAAGTAAATTGAGATTCGAAAATTCTCAAAGGTATAACAGAAGGCTAAATAAAAATCCGGGACAATACTACATGCACCCTCAGCAGTTAAAACTTTAACATGCATTTTATGGCAAGTCAGTAGATAAAATAGAAGAAAACTCAATGGAAAACTACAGGAAAGGATTATTTACATAAAAAGAAGAAAGTTCATTAGCACGTCTCCGTACATACTTAATTGCACAATTAATCGATATTTAATTAATTCGTGTTTTACGAATTTTTATTGTAATTGCAGAACTTAATAGCCGGCAACTGTTTACATTGACATGAGTGATCACGTTACAAATAAAATCGATGTTGATCTACATACTTTTCAAAATGAGCATATTTTCACAGTTGGAAAAGTTTAACTTTTAAACTATTTAAAGGACATTCCATAATATAAACTAATAGAACATTTAGTCCTCAATGTAAATCTACGGAAGACATAACAAAAATGTTTACCAGTCGATGAAAATAAGATATAGAAAGCAACTGCATCTTCTAAAATGTGTAATAATCAACTTTCTAAATTTATTGACTACAACAATTTGTACGTGAAACACTAAAAAAGACACTGCATTTAATTTTAAGAAAAACTTTAATACATACGAATGGGTTAATAGTTATGATACATTGCTTCAAGATTTAATAATAAAATAGATAAATTGTCTTCAGTTGTAAATAATAAAGCTGATTTAAATTTTATAAAATGTGAGTATAAACATTTGAAATGTAAATATTTTGGAGATTTATCCTTCTGATAAGATAATATCTTACTAAAAGTGTTTTATAATTTTAAAATAAATTATGATGTTTATATCTAATTATTACACTACTCCGCCACAATTAGGGGATCATGTATATTTAAAATAAACGGGACAAAAACTTGAACATATTGCATATCAGGTTTACAGCGCCTTAAGCTTATCTCGCAACCCATGTCCGGAAACTTCTTGTTTTAGCAATTTTGGCAACGCCTGAAATAACACAAGTAGGAAAGTTGCTGCAGCTTACGACCTGACAGTCGCCTCCTCCCCTGCTGCCTCGACGTGCCAGGCACGGCTTTCTTGAAATAAGCCAAAGACACGCAGTTGCCAAATTATCGAAACAAGAACAAGTGCTCTCATACCAGGGTTGCGAGTTAAGCTAAAGACTCTATACAAGAATTATTTGAAAAGTAGTACGTGCTGGTATATCTACGATTACAAAGAAAAATGATTTGGCTAGTAATTGTTATTTCTAATATAAAAAATTTCAAAATCAATAAAACTGTTGAAAGAAAAGCCTGAAATTTTACGCATCTACAATAGTAAAAACCGTGTTGTATTATTGATTTAGACGCAATGAATTTGTATGGTTATTCAAAATTCACCAGATATGAATTGGGAATTTTAAAGCTGCAACAAACCAGTTTAAAACGGAAGGCATTATGAATTTATCTGAAGGTGGTTATAAAGGATATAGTACACTTGAAGAATATTTAGATATTCTAACCAAATTACATGAATTTAAAGATTGTCTCTTATGCCCTGACCATTTGATAAATGTTCAAGTATTAGTAATGGGATTTTATAAAGGTATAAAAACAAAAACTCTAAGCTCGTGGGTATATTAAAAGAGAAGCTGAATGATGTTATTGATTAGAGAATCTTAAACTGTTATGCAATGTTTTACAATAATAAGTTATTGCCAAAACGTTGTAGTCGGTTCATTCGATAAAAGCGTGGCTGAACCAGGCGTCGAAAACCTTTAGCATTTATAGAAGAAGCAGACAGTGATTTTAAAACAGATTTATTTAAACTCATGAACAACACAGTATATAATAAACAAATGAAAAATTTACAAAAAATATGCTATGAAAAACACCTATCAAGCTATCACAAAGTTTACAAAGATTAGGATTATAGTATTGATTAAGATACTGTATTATTCTATTGAAAAAATAAGTGATTTTAAATAAAATTATCTATTGAAATTAATATATGAATTTTATTACGCTTTTCTAAGACAAAAATATGGTAATGACATCAAACAATCAGTAAATTAGATATTTTATTATCTATTTTGAAACGAATTTTTATGAAGATATGAAAGAAAACATCGAAATAATAACAATCTTTGTGTATCTCCTAGAATCCATGTCACAAAAGTAAAGTATCAACTGTTTTTACAGGTGAATATTTTAGAAATACCGAAAATGTAATTTGTGGGATTAAGATAAAAATAATTATTTTAAAACAGATTTAATAAACAAGTAAGAGTATGTAAAAGTATTAAGATACGAACTATAGAGAAGATGAAATTTAATCTGTGTGAACATACTCATACCTTATCCAATGATGTAAAAATCCTATGAGTATGTGTATAATATTGTAACCAAAGAATAAAAGTTTATATTATGAGAATTTAAAAATGCTCAATCTGATGAGATATATATTATGTCAATACCATACCGCAACCACGCGCCAGGCTTATCCCCTTATCCTTAAGCTGCCCGTATTGGTCAACGGTTGGGCGGTGTAGCAAGAACGCAAATACTTGTAGTGCGCATTTGCCTCATTATTTAAATATACAAATTGCCAAACAGGGAAGGAAATGGAGAACTTTTAATAAGTTAATAAAAAATGAATGACCATGAACAGAGTTTAATTTCAAAAGACTACACATAGTTATACGAAATGGCTTTCTACTTGATTTGGAGACGAGTCACTTCACGGGAAAGCTTCCTTTCTCGGGTGCGGCCCGCAGGCTTTCGCAAGTCGTCGGCACGGCGAGCACC